GTAATTTTAATTTATTATTTCCATTTTCTCTTCCAGTTAAAGATAATTTGTTCATGGGATTAGGTTGGAAATCCACAGAAAAAGTACAGTATTGTAGTACTAGTAGTATAGGCTATTGAATTGTTTTCATTTCTTTCTGTGATTACGGCCTAATCCCTATTGCTAAAATAAGACTAACTAGGCATATGCAGGCTATTATTTCACTCTGTGTAGACCCCATAAAATTGAAAATGTTCCAGGATCCTGATTTTGGAAAGAAAATTACACAGGGACAATTTATTTTTCTTACATTGGTTGTACCATGGAGTTGCTGTGTTTTGCTATGCTGTGTGATAAAGACAGCTGGGCATACTCTATGTCGAGGACGAACTATAACTGTAAGACGAACTATGGCTGAAATTATGCAGACGTCAACATACAAAGCCACGCCCCTCGGCTGAACCCATTGTATTTAGCAACTACCATGTAGAATGTACAAGAATTTACAAATCTTGATCAGAGTTAAAGTTATGAATATGCATGTGATAGCTGGGAAGGGATTTCAGTAGGCCTACTACAGTTTTTCACTTTAGCAGGGAGGCTGATCTACACATGAAATAGATTTGCAGGGTGAATTTCTATGAGCAATGGTCCTAGAAAATTAATGGCAACAAAATCAGTTGATAGTAGTTACTTGTACTATCACCATTTTGAATTTAACATTGGTATCAGTATCTTTAGCTAGGTCTTCGAAAACATGGGATAGACTGATATTAATACAGAACATTCCCCTCTCCTTCAGAACTAGCTGGTTTACGGTACTATGCAGGCAGTTTGCCTCTCTGTTCACTATTCACTCTCTGCTGCTTTCTTTCAGTCTAGTAACAGGCCCATTATTGTTATCAACAAACGAAAATCAAGTCGCGATCAGACGTAACAAAGATATAAATACTATAACTTTACTTGGTTGACTTTATTAATATGTCTTTGTTTCCTTCCAAGATTCCGGTTCTTGCGACGAATATACAGGTAGAAGTGGCTTTGATGCATACACCATGTTTTTTCCAGGATCCTCTTGAATTGATTAAGGTTTAGGGCCTGGACAGCAGTCTGAGATAGACTATTCCAATCGTTAACTCTGATTGAGAAGAATTTTCTCCTAACATCAACAATGGTCTCAGTTCAATGATTTTGAAAGAATGAATGAGGACGAATTAGTGAATTATATAATACCTTGAAACTGGAGGCATTCTGGTGTGTGTGGAGAAATTTAACTTGCTGTCGAAGACGACTCCAAGAACTTATTTTCACAGGAGTGGTTTTAGATAAGCAACTATTAACCAACACTTTGAAATGACCTTGTAAACCCTATGCTGTAGTTTGATTAGCAACTTGTGGTGAGGTACACTGAAAAATATTGCTATAATCCATGTAAATCCAATCATAGGAATTGCCTTTATCAAGGAGATCAGTCCAGCATTACAGAACACTTAAAAGTTAGGTGGTGGAGGATCTTCTACTGCAAAAGGTCTTCCAACAACTGCACCATTTTGATCACAAACTATTTTCTCCATCATTTTATCCACAATGGACAACAAGCTAATTTTCTGTAGTTATAAACGGAAGATTTCATTTCTTATTTGAAAACAGGGATTATCTTAGAGAAATTTTCCAGAAACATTACCATACCAGCAATATTAGTTTAAGTACAATAGCTAATGCTTTTGCAAGGTTTTGAAATGCTTCACGGAGGATAGGTAGATGGATACCATCAAAACCTGGGACAGTCTATTTTCAGTAAATCCAAGATATGTTTAGCGTTATCTTCATTAATAATTACTAGATCCATTGATATTCCGTTGACTTGGGGAAAGCTGGGCGTGTTGTATAACTTCTCTGTAGTAACACTTTTGAAGTAAATGTTAAACATATCGGCTTTATTGCTGTAGATATTCGGCACAGTGCCATTGTTGCTGATAATAGACGGTCTTGACAGTTTTAATTTTTTTTTTACTCTGGACATTATTCGAAAAGGTCTTTGGGTTGGACAAAATCTCCATAGCCACACTTCTTTCGAACTTTACCTTGTCTACTCTGCAACTAGCAGTTTTTTTAACAAAATATTATCTATCATCATTTGTACGCTACTAGTCGTCAGATATTGCACGTCCTACCAACTCAAGCTAGTGCTTTCTATCTTGGGCCGGGTGTGTCAAGTGCTTGGTTGGTGTCCACAATATTTCTGAGGTCACCTTTAATTAATTTTGTCTATATTTTAGTTGGTCTTCCAACATGCTTTTAAACTTTCCTGTAACTTTCATTTAGCATTATATTCGCTGCAGAATCTTCTGGGAGTCTAATTAGAAGCCCGTACCATCTTAATCGTCACCTTTTGATACAACGGCTCTATTAACGATTAAAACATTTAATTACAGTAAAGCACTTAAATACTAAGTTACTATACTTTTTGACCTCTACATTGCTACCAATTCTTTTTTTTTTTTGTCTTTTGTGGTGATCCTTTTTTTGTCCTCTTTTTTCATGGTTTTCAATTTCACTTTTTTTCTCATATTGTACAATGCTTTATAATTCTTTACAATATAAAACAAAATTAAAAGAAAAAAGAAATTGCTTTTTTTATAAATTTTTTTTTGTATAGAAAATCGCACATTTCCCGTAATATTTTAATTCACTTTTTACCAAAAAAATCCCATATACATAATACACACACACCTCGACACTTTCACACACATACCCCGCATGCACAAACATACACCAACAAATACGTACCAATACACCTTTACATAACCACACTTACATATTCACTATACATATTATTAATTATTTTGTTTTCCTCCTTTCTCTCATTTTCAATAACCTTAATTAAAATATCTTTGCTCTAGCCATTCTCTGCTACCAATTGTTACATAATTGTGAGTAGCTGTTGTCATCTGGAATATATGTGAATTTCCTGTTTAATCTGGCTAATTGTAATTACAGTAATCTGATTTCTGGGGCATTTGCACTTTTGTGTGGCACAACCTTACTTGCAAACTGTACTATTTTTTATACAACAGTTTGTCTCTAAGAGACATTAAAAAAATAAATAAATGAATAAAACTTGAGTTTTATACATCGTAATTATTTTACCCAGGGGTGACGCCAATGCCCCCTTCGTCATGGAGAGCTGCTGGTCAGAGAGAAATACACACTTCTTCGAAAAAAAAAAGCTGTATATACATTTTTACATATTAGTAGATCTTAAAATCAATTAAATAAGCCCAAAGCCGCTAAATTGTCCCTTGGATCACTTTGAAAAGGATTTCAGCGACGCCCGAACACGCCAACTTACAGTATGTTCTTGTCGACAATTTGGACACCTGTTGTGGACATCAGACCCCACGTTTGGCAAATCCTAGCGCCACCCATGATTTTACCCACTCTCCTACGTACGTAATTATTGTATGTGTATACTAAACCCTGACATTCTCATTTAGTGATGAGGAACAAATTTCCATTGAACAATTAATGGAGCCCACAGACATAGACACCTTATATATACACATTATGCAGGCTAGCGGGCATACTATCAACTAAAGAAATGTATAATATTAAAGATAAAAGACGATTTGAAGAGATGGTTGGTAATGACGGAAAAGGTATGGTTCCGTATAGTAGGCAATGCTCCTACAATTCACTGTAAAATAATATTTAAAGTAAAACATTTGAAAATAACAATAAAGTTATACAGAAAGTTGGATGTCCATTTATGAAGAAAGAATATACTAACTAAATCCAATCCATTTACATCATCATTCTGTATACAACATGAATGCATCCTCTGTAACTCACAACACAATATATATATTTTAATTTATTTATATTTGCGTCGTGGTACGTTTAGATGTTTTTCTTTTTATCATAATGCTTTTTATCATAAAGCTAGAACATTTTTGTCTTGACAAAAATGTCATAAGTTGGTTTAAAAGCTACTTAAGAAACCGTATCCAAATTACTAATGTTAATAATGTCTCATCCAGTAAAGATAATAGTGTTTGTGGAGTACCCCAGGGGTCAATCCTAGGGCCTTTGTTATTTTTACTGTATATTAATGATCTTTCTAAAATTGTACAAAATGTAAAAATTAGCATGTATGGGGATGATACTGCTCTGTATTTAGCATCTGATAATGTGAAAGAAATGTCTGATAAAATTAATATTGATCTCCACAACATTGCAAACTGGTTGTATTGTAACAAATTAAACTTAAATATTAATAAAACAGAATTCATGGTAATTGGAACACACCAAAAATTGGCAAAAATTGGAAAAAAAGAGTTAAATTTGAAAATTGAAGGTACACACTTAAAAAGAGTTCATCAATGTAAACATTTAGGTATTGTAAGTGATGAGCATCTTTCATGGACAAAACAAATTGAACATGTTAAAAATAAAATATTACCAGGCCTTTTTTATCTTAAG